AAAATATATCAAATAAATATAATAATATTGATTTGATGAACACAAATTTGATGATGTGGACCACACGTGCTACCACGTAATATTCTTTATTGAATTTATCTGACACAGCAAATATAAAATTATTAAATATTTAAATGTGTGCAATAAAGTATTTTTTTGTTCAAACAGAGCTATAAGTTAGAAATCAACACTGATGTTGTCTTTAAAATATGTGAAAAACTGAATCGCTTATAGCAAAATTTAAAACAATGATTATCACTTAACCAATCAGAAAATTCCATTTCATCTTTCGCTCAGCCCTACTTAATTAATGAATTAATATTTGAAAAAACTGTATTAACATCAAGTGTCATATACTACATGCTTAAAAATGTATTTGAGCTTGAGTGGATGTATAAAAAGTATTTTATTAACGATTGAAAATTTGAACAAGATATGAGGAGTGTGTGAACTAATAGTAGGAAAAGAAAAAGAAAGCAGCAAATTTTTAAAAAAAAGCATAATTAGCTCTACTTAAGAGTAATAAAAGCAAATTTAACCACAAAATAATAATAAAATATACTATTTTTTATTTCAGAAATATTTTGGTTCGAACAGAAAGTTTTAACAGTTTCCAGCATAATTTTATTAATACTGAATAACTCCTAATAGTTTCAAATCAATGTATAGAGAATTTTTAAAGCACTGCTATATTAAGAAAAACAAAAAGAGAATCAGTATCCATTAGATAATATTCACTCATGTCAATACGTAATTAAAATTTGCAACTAAGTTCGAGATTCACTTAATCAAATAATTTTAGAATAAGGTTTCAAAAATCTTGAAATAAAAACGCAGTGAATATGCCACTTAACATTTTTGTACAAAGGTAATTTTAATGTATGATCCTTTAGTTATTGATAGTTATTGTTATTCGTGATATGATTAGTGAACTCTTGATTGAAATCAATAATTTTTAAAATCACTTGATTTTGAATCATTTCAATAATTGTAGGATTACAAAAGCCTATCCTACAAGATTTGTTACAAGCACTGCAAAAAAAAAAAAAAAAAATTCCCAAATTCATAAACACAAAAATTTGATTATATAAAATTATTAAATAAGTTTCTTTTTCATACAATGACTGAGTTTCCAAAACGATTTAAGCAATAAATCATGTGGATAAAGCAATAAGCCTGAATCTTGTTAATTAGTAGACAATCCCTTCATTGGAACTATCGAACTTTGTGATTTCTACTAGTATTGTTAATTAAAATAAAGAGATGTTGGATCAAAAATCCAAATTTCTTGATGCTTCAAATCTATTTTTTAAAAATTTTCATTTGTACTCAGAAAATGGGATGTGCTGAACACACACTAAAATCAGGAAACGTATGAACCTTGCATAAAAATACTACACATATGGAGCAATAGTTTTGTTACATAAACAATCAGTAATCAAAAAGTACCATCTTATTGATAACTAATAATAAAGAGAAAAAAATAATAAAAAAGGCAAACAAATATCATTAATACAATTGACATAAAAAGGTTAAAATAACTTTCAAACGAAACAAAAATCTACCTCATCTTGTAAAGAAGTTACTTTCTCACTCAACTGAAGAACATATTGTTGATACTGGTCAGCCATTGAATCTCGCTCGTTCATAAGTTTATCAACAGATGCTTTTAACTAAAAAACAGAAAGTTTAAATGAAATAAGTAGATTAAAATATAGGGTGGATTGGTAAAGTAATATTACTGATTTTACTGTAGCTTTAATGCTTTCAGCATGCACAGAGCAGTGGTAATTGAAAAACTGTACAAGTCATCTCCAGCCATTCAAAATTTAAAACATGCATTTTCGTAAAACTTGTTTTTGTCTTCTCATCAAGCTGTCAAACTGCAAACGATGAATTAACATTATATTTTGAGTAAAACAGGGCAGTGTTACAGTGGAAAAATTTTTCCATCAAAAAGAGGGCTTTTGGTGATGATTGTTTATCAGAATGCCAAATCTACTGGTGACACAAAGATCATGCAGGTAAAGAGAACAAAGCTCATACTTGATTGCCACCAATAACCATCACCATCAAAGATTTAACACAAGTAATTAAACTTTTCAAATCAGACTGTAGTTTAAACATTTGTTTAATGACACGGATAATGAATATTTCAAATTGTCCAGACTGTACATTAACGTTGTTTGTAAACTTCGTCAATTACAAAGGGCCTAGCCAGGCTGTCTTTAAGACCATTTATCCGACAGATTCAAAGATACCAAAGGTTCTCCAGCTGTTCTTAAGTTATGAAATGGCTTTTCTAGACTTCTTGTTTTGACACTTGATAGTTACCTTGAAAGAACATTTTTAGGACAACTGACAAAGTCAAATTTCCATTTTATACAATGGACAGTTATACATATTTCCTTTTATACAATGAGGAACGTATCTCAGTCATTAATTTTCATCAATGCCCTTCAAACAAATTTTTTAAGTCATGTTAATACCAAAGAACATCTCAGGAAAGATACATTAAGACAGCTTCAAAGCTTTGAAATCTCATTAGAAGCGATTTATAGATCAAGGAGTAAACTATTTTAATGTGCTGTAACAATCACACCAATACATGTTTTATAAATCAACACAGTGACATTACTTTTAAGACAAACTATGTAGTGGAAAACCAATTTTCAATATGTAATTAATAATTTTGAAAAAGCTTAATCATTTAACAATGAATGAAAAATGATAAAAGATACTTACTAAGGAAACTTTCTTTTCAAGATCTATTTTTTCTTGAAACAGTTCTTCCAACTGATTTCGATTTTCAGGAGTGTTACTGTCAGGAAGTTGATGTGAATGAGATTCTGCTGCTGACAACTTGCTTCTACAACCTGTAAGCTCTTTTTCTAAGCTTTGAAGATCTTGAATCTATTTTTTTGGTATAAAATTATTTCATTTTCAACTATGCAAAGTCAAAATAAAATTGCATTTTTTATTTTTTTGTTGCACAAGTAAGTTAATAATATCAAGTCTTAAAAATATGTACAAACACTAAAAATTGCTGAACTTGTTTTCTTATTCTAATCTTTTTAGATAGAAAGAGCAGTTCAGTTCATACCACATTACTTTACTTTCATGAGATCATTGCAAAATTTGTAACAATCTGCTTATAAGTTAAGGGATTTCATTTGACATAGCAACAGCTCACAGTTTCTGCTATAGTAGTACTTTTACCAAAATGCTATAAGACTATCTAAAAATGCTAACATGTAACAAGGGCTTTTTTTCCTTTTTTTATTAAAGCATTTTACCATATTTCTTAGAATAGTTCAACAAAAAATCGTGACATTGTGACTTTTGAAAAATTCTTACGTTTGATTCTACCTACTTAGGCATAAATTTTTTTTTTTTTAAACAAAATAAAAAATGACATTTGTTTGCCAAAAACAAATTACGATAGTGAGAAAAAATAGGAACCAAGTTCAACGCCAGAAATAAATCTAGTGTTAAAGTGAAGTTTTAAAATTTGTAAACAATTAAAAATGAAATACATTAAAATGCCTAGAAAGGCATATAAAGGACTATTCATAGCCTATACCCATTGTCATATTAACATATTGCTAAACTTTTTTTCCCTTGCTGATTTTAGCTTTTATGCAAAAGATCTTTTGGTTCCAGTTTAAGCAATGCTACAGTGCCCACTAGTGTAAAAATATTTTAATAAGAATTATAAAAAAAAGTGTTTTTTTTTTTATTTTTTACAGAAGACAGTGAAAAAACTTATTTACTTCCTTCATAGCATCTAGTCTTTAACCGAGACAGGGTTATGAATGGATTAAGTTTGTTCACATGATCTAGTACAAAAACCAGACTACTGGCAAAATTTTCATCTGTAAACTAGATTGAAAGTTTTAAAAATGGAGTGTGTCTGATCATTGTCGATAAAGAAGCATAACTGTAATCACTGTTTATAAAGAATGATGATTAAAAAGGTTGGTATCTTCTTTCTTATCACTTTCCAAAACAGAGTGCAATGCTGTTGTTGTCATCGGTCATTAAGCCAAAGGGGGTCCGATTGTTCCTGTTTTCCAGTGGCGCCATCTATGACCAGGAATTCAACTTCTGTCACACCCGTTTATTGGGCAGACCCATTTATACATCCATTCATTCAGCCACAGATCGTAATTTTGACCTGAATCAGAGAATGATCAATCTCCAATTCAGTATCCCCAGAGATATTGATCTCTATGGGAACATGGAGGACATTGTGACTTGACAGATTCAACATGCACCAGTTACCATTAACAACACAGGGAGTGTTTGGCTGGTTGGATTCGAACTCCCGCTCCCACAATGTGAGTCCTGCAACCTGCCAACCAGGCTATCCCAGCCGAGTGCAAAGCTGAATAGGTTGAATGAAATTTAAGCAAGAAGTTCAATATTTTCAATGTCATCGTTTTACAGGTTTTTTTAAAAAATTTATTTATTTATTAAACAACAGGACTTTTTTTTTATAAGTAAAGTCTGGTTTTCAGAGGTAAACATAACTTGAGAGTAATGTAAAATGCTATTATTAATTATTAAATTCTTTTTTACTATTAATGTAAACTGATTGGACTAAATACAGAAATTAATAGCACAAAATTTATGAGTAGTTATACAGCTGGGACTATATCAACTATACTTGTTATACTGAGTATGCAACATCATTTAAGCAATAAAACAATGTTTATATAAACAACAGCATATGATATTGTTTGGTCAAAAAATTAAATTGTGTACCCAAGATAACAAATTCCAATATAAACCAAATATGGTGCAAGTACAAAAGAGAAAAAAATATATTTCTAAGTCATTTGGGTACTGTGAACCTGTATTTACCTTAAGAAGGTAAATTCTTTAAAAACAATATGAAGACTGGAAGAGCTTTAAAGGGAACTTTTCAAATTCAGCAGAATCAGTGGTAAATATAAATATTAATAAAAACTAAATATTAATAAAAACTAAATATTAATTAAACATAAATATTAATAAAAAGTTCTATCTTTAATAAAAAACTAATATCTTTAATTATACAAACAACAAGTTTCCCATAGCCAAAAAACATTTTAAAAAATGAATTTAATAGTTGTCAGACATAATAAATGAACCATAATAGAAATGAAATTACAAACCAAAAATAATTTATAAGTCATACCTTTTTATTCAACTTTTCTTTTAATTCTGAATTGGCTGAACTTAAATCCTCATTTGACCTACTGAAATAGCAAAATATTTTTTTTTATTATACATTCTAATTAGAAAACATATGAATATATTTTTTTGATTCAGCGTGGAAAAAATTATCAAATTTTCTTACCTATATTTATAAATTTCAGATTTTAATCGGTCCACTTCCTTGGCAGATTCTTTGTTAATCTGGAAAATAAAAATTACGTAGCAAAATAAAAACAAAGAATTAAAAGATATTAAGAATCAATCAATTAATATTTTGGATTAGTTAAAGAACAGTCAATAGTAAAATTTTAATAAAAATCTCAATATTTTTTTCACAAACTCAGTTTCAAGACTTTGCATCTTTAATTCCTAATGCAGAACAAAAACTTATTTCATTATTTATTTCGTTAAAAAATATGCTCATTTAAATATGAATTTCCTTCTTATTTTTGAACATATACAATTCATTTGAACATATTTTATTTTTAACATATACAATTTAAACAATTTTTACAGAATCATTCAATCCTTTTAAGAGCATTCATTTATTCAAGATTTCTATGAGCGTTCAATTCATTTATTTTTAAGAGCAACATATTTCTAGGATCATAATAAACTAACAAAATATCTAAGAAAACTCTCATGAATGAGCACTACTACTTCCAACAAAAACTATCAAACATTCAACTTAAATTTATTTGTGTTATTAATTATTTAAGTTACACAATAAAATAAACATTTATTTAACTCATTAGACTAAGTGTTTAGAAAAGTTTTTCAATTTTATTCCCTGCATAACTAAGACTAATAAAAATATTAATTTAAAACTTGCATTATTCACAAGAACCAAAAAATTAGTTTAAAAATGTACCTTATCTAATTGTTGGTATGAACTATTTACAGCTGCCAATTCTCTTTCGAGATCTGATGCTCTTTGTCTAGAAGCTCTTAATCTACCGAATAGCTCTTCTACTTCTCCTAAAATGAAACAAATTTGTTGACAGCTTTAAAAATACATATTGCAATGTAAGTAATTACTTAAAAAGCTATATCCCTGAATTAAGAAAACTCACTAACTTCAATCACACTTTTAATTACTAAGTAATTCAAGCATTTAATATTACTTACAGGGTTCCCACTCTATGATGAGA